TAAAATGGGTTCACTATTCCAAGCAAATCACGATACGCACTTGATAACTACTAACCTTTACATGATGTAGAATATTAAAACGAAATTACTGACAAAATACTGATATAAAATGGGTTCACTCTTCCAAGCAAATCACGAGACGTACTTGATAACTACTAACCTTTACAGAATGTAGAATATTAAAACGAAATTACTGACAAAATACTGATATAAAATGGGTTCACTCTTCCAAGCAAATCACGAGACGTACTTGATAACTACTAACCTTTACAAGATGTAGAATTTTAAAACGAAATTACTGACAAAATACTGATATAAAATGGGTTCACTCTTCCAAGCAAATCACGAGACGTACTTGATAACTACTAACCTTTACAAGATGTAGAATTTTAAAACGAAATTACTGACAAAATACTGATATAAAATGGGTTCACTCTTCCAAGCAAATCACGAGACGTACTTGATAACTACTAACCTTTACAGGATGTAGAATATTAAAACGAAATTACTGACAAAGGAGACGAATATCTGTGGTGGAATGCTTCATTTTCCTCTGCTCTCTTCCGCAAATATGCACCTGATTCAATCGTCAATGAAAGAGGAAATACCACTAAAAAGAACCTGCTCATATAACAAGGCTGCCGTTACCATAGTTACCGGTCTCTTAGCACCCGCTGACCTACTTTCTTAAAACGCTTGACGCACTGCTACGTTGCAGGGTTATTCTCATCTAACATTTTGAATATTTCGCTCTTGAAACCAAGCGTTAAGAGTTACTTTTTCTCTATTTCCAAATTCTTAAGCAGCAAGATACACAATAATGATGCAAATCAATAGAGCAGACAGTCTGTTCAAGTAACAAAGCCATTCTTGATGAGGTTGCAGAAGATTACTTTTAAGAATAGGATGTGTCTTCTTTCATTTGCGCTCAAACGTGTGATTTCCAGACTCCCAACACATCTTTCCTTTCAGATCGATTACCACACAAACACTTCCTTCCTCTCACGCAAATATATAATAGAAGTAGTTATAGCCACCGAGAGTTCCCGTTAACTTGAATTCACACCGCTTGTAATTAATATTAACATGGAAATGTATTTAAAGGTATCTGGACGTATGTTTCGCGCAGTTCCTGGTTGCGAAAACCTTTTTGAAATTTTTAAATCATAGTTTCAAAAAAAACCAACTATGCACATTTGTAATTAAAATGACACTATTCTAGAATAATACATACGACGATGAAGCCAGTGCAATAGTACTGAATGAATATATGTATACTATATTTATTATAATTAATATAAATGATACATTTAGCAATGTAAAGCACTAACAAAACTTTAAATTTATAGCAATTCAATACATTTCATTTGTTTACTGGCAATATTAATAATATGCCTGATTTCCCAGCAATATCTGACAAAGTTAGGTCAGTTTAAAATAACATAATATTTAGGGACAACAAGGAACCTATTGGTCCATCTAGACTGTCCCATCCACTAAACTAAAACTTTTAAAAAGAAACCTCAAATTCAGCCCTTATCATTCATCTATTTATCAAGCTTTCTCTTAAACTCCCTTATATTTACTGCCTCCACAACATGGGAAGGCAACCCATTCCAAAGGCCAACTACCCTGTCAGAAAAATAAAATTATCTTAGCTGAAGATGACTCCTAACCTGGCAAAATTTACATTTGTGACTCTTAGTCCTACTATTCTCACTGTTAGTTATAATACAATACTCCAATGTGGCCTAACCAATGACCTATACAATGAAATTTTTACCTCTTTAGACTTGTATTCAATATTTCTGTAGATACAACCTGAAATCCTATTTGCTTAGTTTAGACCTACACCCAACGATTGAATTCAATACAAATTTATCACAAATTCGATTATTCAAGAAGTGTAAAAACATAAAAATATAACAAAGTCAACAGAGATAGGAAAACTGGTTTTCAATTACAAGTGATCATGAATACATTGTTTTATTAAACCTAAAGTAACAAAGTAAATCTGTATGATATAATTCAATAAGAAAACTAAATACTGAATCACCTAGTGTCATAGTTATTTATTCTAATTCAAACAGTGTATAAGAATTTGATATTTCAATTTTTGTCTCTTCTTGAAGACAGAGAGTTCATGGTATACATTTTTTATGGTGTCTTCATGTTCTGTTACATTCAAATACTTAAAACTTAAGATATAATATCTCTAACAAATCTACATTAGACAAATACCTTTTTTGTTGCTAGTTGCTTTAGATGGAACACACAAAAATAATTATAGTATTTACTTAAAAGTAATGCACTTGTGTGCCAAAATTAATGTTTATTAAGACAATTTTAAATTCTGCTACCACCTGGTGGGAGATTAAAACAAACATTATGATGCTTGTTATACTGCTTTCATCAGTTAAGACTATATGTCAGATTTTTGGTGCTTGGGATGAAAAATTCAAATCATAAAAAAATATTTATGTATTTCCTGCTTCTACTAGCCATTGTATGGGGTTGGGGGATTAATAAAATGTGACTTTAACTAATGGAATGTGAAAAAAAATAGTGAGACTTTTGATAGAAAAATTTGCAAATAATCTTGTAAACTAACTTACATAACTGTGTAAAATATTTTAATATTTTTTCATATACTTCTAAAGGGAAAATGGTGGTTCCCCATTTATACCTAATTCTGCTTTAAGATGCATCCTGGTGATGCTTTAAGTCATTTGATGGTACAGTTTATTATAAATTTTATGCATTTAATGCATCCATGTGACAATTTATTAAACTAATATGGAAATAAATCACATGCATAATTTAAAAAATTTCAGAGTTTATTTAGAAAGAGTAATCCAGTAGCAAATTACAGTGGTTCAGTGATTTGTATTTTTTTTTTTATCACTGACTTCCATTTGCAAGTTAAACCACTGGTAATTTGCATTTTGAAAAACATGTCATAATTAACTTACAATAAAGTTATTTACTGCTGGAGTTTTTTTTAAGGAACTTCAATTTTTATACAAAGTTTTTTTATAGCATTAGTTCCATTTTTTAAATCATGAGACTTAACCAGGATTTAAAAATGTAAAGAGCATTTATTTATTGCAGATATGTTATTCATAAATTAAATTAATCAGAAACCCTGTTAGAAAGAAATATATTTTAAAATACTTTTCACGTGTATAACTTACTTGAAGTTCTGGTGATCCACCCTCATCCCTGATTAACAATAAATAGCTTTGTCCATCTATCACAACCTCTTTTTTGAAACGCCCACCTATAAAAGATACCAATAAATATATATGCAAACTAGGTGAATTAAAGGTGTATATAGCTAAAAATAATTATATTTATATACACCAAGGTTACCATAAACATACATTCGTATATGTACGTGTCTATATATGCTTCAAAAATGGCAATGCAGAATTCTATACTGGTTGTAAAGAAACAAAAACATATGCTTAACTGGCACATTATATCAAAATATTATTTAGCAGGATGCTTGTACAGCAAAAGTTGGTTTAGTTTGCATATCTAAAAAAATAAAACATACAGTCGTATAAACATCATACAACTGACTGACTGACTTAACTGTTGAATACTGCTTACTTGTACAATAAATCACTTAATGTATGATGTATGTGCACACACACAAACACACACACTGAAACATGTTTTAAATTATTCATTCAATTTTCATAAACACTGATATACAAAACTGCATAGGAATGTGTGAGCACAAAGCATGCAATAATATAGAAGGTAACTCACCTTCAGGAGATTCCTCTTGTAAGTACGAGCCAGTAAGGTAGCGATGGACTAATGCTGATTTTCCGCTGTTTACACTACCCACAATTCCCTATAAAGTGATAAATGGAATTATTCCATATTAATGTATTTTACAGTTACCTATTATTCCTTATAGATATACAGAAAGGATAAACTGTTGTATATAGGTTTATCAGTATTTGTGCCGACTCACAAATCTCTGTAGAAACAAAATGTAGTTTTTTGTAGGTGAGTATTTATACATAACCAGACTTATTTGTTTGGAAAAATAACAGAATTTCATAACTTGCCACTTAAAAAACTGTAAAAAAAACACAAATACATAGAGTTAACCAGCAACATACACAAAATAAGTAGTAAGTATTGCAAAGAAGGGAAAGTTTCTCCCTAGCACATGCCAATGTGTATCTGTTATCATTATGACCAAAGAGGAAGTTTCTTCTTAGTGCATGGCAATATGTAACTGTTATCATTATGACCAAAGAGGAAGTTTCTTCCTAGCGCATGCCAATGTATATCTGTTATCATTATGACCAAAGAGGAAGTTTCTTCCTAGCGCATGCCAATGTATATCTGTTATCATTATGACCAAAGAGGAAGTTTCTTCCTAGTGCATGGCAATATGTAACTGTTATCATTATGACCAAAGAGGAAGTTTCTTCCAAGTGCATGCCAATGTGCATCTGTTATCATTATAACGGAAGAGGAAGTTTCTTCCAAGTGCATGCCAATGTGTATCTGTTATCATTATGACCAAAATTTCATTCAGTTTCAGCTTGCAGTGTATTTTACTTCCATAAATTAAGAATTTCCTGTACTTTATTACTTCTCTTCAGTATTTTAGTATTTTATTACAATTTCACAATTGTTTTTCCTTTAACTCCCAAAAATGTGAATAAATTTAATTGTGAATGAATTCCAAACAAATTTCACCTAACTCTTCAACACTGGATATATCAATCTATAAGAAAAAGTAACAAACATATTTTCTGCAGGACCTATTTTGAATACCTTTTAAAATATAGACACAACACTCATGATTTCTAAAGCACAATAAATGGTTTTGTTTTTACACTCTAAACAGAGCAAAAACTAAAATAAGTTAAAAAATGTAATGATATGAATTTTGTAACAAACAGTTAACTAATTATGTAACCCATTTATAATAATTATTCTTGTCAATAGGAATACAGTACATTAGTAGGAAAGTTACATATAAATGATGCATGTTTCAGGTTATCATGTAAAGAGTTATAAATTACATTGAGACGTAGCCCAGTTTCTATTATATAAGTAAATCAGCTACATTTCCAGCATTGACATATAAATATTTACAATCACTATTAAAACTTATTAGTGAGTGTACAATATATTAATATTAAAAAAGTAATTGTCAACATCAATGTTGACTTGTAGTGTATAGCTTAATAACAAAATAATGTTATAAAGCTACAAAAACACATTTAACAAAGTTTACATCAGGTGTATATAATGTATTTCCTGTAGAAGATTAAATGTAATAAAATAATGCTACAACTCACCAGCCTTATATCAGGCACAATTCGGCTTAATGTCCATTCTTGGCTATTAACAAAGGAGTCTGAAAAAAGAAAAAAAAAGCCAAGAAAGGCTTATCTCTTTTGTTCAATGTAGTAATATAATGGTGTAATTAAAAATCATTGTAACTACATCAAATTTGCACAAATTATTAAGGTCACCTGCAAATACTTCTGTATGTGTTCAGTCAACAAATACATTTAGAATCATTGTGCATCAGCTGTTTTTGTTTTTTTAAATGTAATACACAAATCTTAAAATATGTTAACTTAAACATAACTACTCGTATATTTTAACAATTATTCCTAAAGGAAAAATATGTAACATATGGTTAGCTTCAGATCAAACAGTTCCAATGGTAATTTAGTAAATTAGCATCATCACATTTCCCCATCTCACATAATTTTGTTTTGTGATGACAGTCTGTTACTACTACCAGTAATTTAATATACAATGGTAAGGAGCATGGCATGGTTGAAATTCTCAGTCATCAGATGATCTTGAAAAAACTACACGTTGTTACCTATTAGAAATTTTTCTTTGAATTTGTCAATTGGTTATTAAAATACATAAGAGAACTAAAAACTACACCATAATGCATAAAATACTGATACTTTTAACTTAAAACTACTTATAGCAACAAAAGCTGAACAACAAGGGAAGAAAAGAATTGGTTACTATAGATGATATATGTGCTTTAAAGAATATTACACTCTTAAAAGACTGAACAACATTAAACACCTATAAATAAGCAAGTTTTATCATAACGTGACTTACATGAATGCAATATATATATATACAAAAAATGTTTAATAAGGAGATAACCTTAAATACACATTTTTTACAAGATCCCTTTTGACAGAAGTTTTTAATGCACAGTACTTTATTGTTTGGTCAAATATAGAACAAAATTCCTTAGAGTTGTGGATCTTTATTCTATATAAAAACAACAAAAAACAGATGTATAATTTATAACTAAAAGTTGTAAAACATCTGTAGAGACAATACACAATGTGCTATTATTTCTCCATAACATAACGCCATGAAGAGGTAGAAGATCAGCCAAAGGAAATGTTAACCTATTTGTATGCATGTCAACTTTTAAAAAGGGTAAGTAACAAGGTACATAAAATCTAAACTTGAAAAGTATGCAACATACCTTTAAAAATAGGATGATATTTAATTTGAAAATTTTATATTTGACAGGTTAAAGTTATGTCAGTACAGAGATATGTTAATGATATCACAAATTTCAAATAATTTCTCAAATGTTTTCCCCCATGGATTGGTTACAGCAAAGACTTGGCACAAGGCCAAGATATGTTCTAATTACAATTAAATTTTCTTGTATTTTACCGTACCTAATAATCCATAATGATACCCTTTTCTTAAAATTATTTAATAATGTAAATCAATTAATTTTGTCTGTCATACACAGCCTAAGTAATACCACAAAACTTGTATTATCAGTCAAACATTAATCAAACTGTTAATTTATAATTGACCACTTTTATAAAATAATTCTGCAAGTTCCTCATATACACATGCACACACACGTACTGAGCCCCCTCTTTGTCTAATAACTCTGTTGTTTTTCCACTACCCAATTTGCCGAGATACTGAGAAAGGAGTCATCTAACCACAGTTACATGCCTTGATGGACCACCTTAAAAGTAGGATTCAATGTTATTATTGGAGATGGAAGCAAGACAGTTTAGCAATTAACAAACAAAGCATGAAAAGCCATAACACACCATTTAGTACGGATATTTTTGACATTAAAAAACTTTTCATTACAGCCTTATTTCAGAATCAAGGAGGAATAAGTGGGTTCAAAGGATATTGTTTAAGCCTAACAGTTTACAAAATTTCAGTGCTATCTGAAGAAAACTGGTAATTTTTAGTATGCTCATTTTATGTTCATATAATCTGTTCAATTCCAGTCAATATTACTTTGTTGCCATTGTTGTTGAATTTTCTCCAAAGCTACTCAATGGCTATCTGTGCTAGTCAACATTGCCTATCACCCACTCATGGACTAATGTTTTACCAATGAATAGTGGGATTGACCATCACTTTATAACACCTCCACAAGTGAAAGGATGAGCATGTTCAGCAGGGATTTTTACCTTTCATCCCACAGGTTGCAATTCGAGTGCCCTAAACTTTATTGGTTATGATTGGGTGATTGAACTCTTATTTGTTTGCTATTTTGTATGTACTTGTAATCATTATAGAATTTAACCTTACTTACACTTAGAACAAGTCCTTTTAGTATAGATGGCATATACAGTTAACATACAAAACTGTAATTTTTTTCCTTCTTGATCACTTATGATGATTAATGTATAATACTATTGCTAATTGATTAAAAATACCAATATAGAAACATAAGAAAAATACAGGTTTATAAGAAATAACTTCTAGCCCATCCATTTGTACAAGAAATGTTTTACTAGTTACTATTTGATTAAACAACTATCAAACAAAGTATAGACAGAAAAATTACACCAATAGCTGTACCAATAGAACTGTATTAATTAAACAAAGCTTGGTTTGCTTACGATTTTCAAGCAAATTTACACAAAGACTAGTTGTGTAGTACAGTCATTCCTAATTTTGAGCTAACAGACTAGAAAGAGGGGAACTTATCAATCAAAAACACCCACATCTAACTTCTGGGATATTCTTGTCTAGCTGAATAGTGAGAGTTGACTGTTATTCTTATAACACACTCACAACAGAAAAATGACGATAGTGTTATTACAGATTAAGATGCAAACCCTCAGATTTACAGTCTGGACCAATAACCACAAGGCCACATTTGGCCTATGATGCAAAAACTATGAGGATTACAATTACTGATAAGGTTAAAGGTCATAGTCATAATTATCATATTCAAATTGGAAAGTAATTCACTTACAGTATGTTATATATAAAAAATGTATACAAATTTAAGGAGTGTTTTGTCTGTAATAGTTTGTTTTGGAACAGTAAAATATCTACACATATTCTGGGTCTTTTCTGTTTGGTGCCCTCGAATAGATCATTTCGAAAATAATACCAGCAATGCAGTAAAATAAAAAACAAATAATAAAACATTATATGATATTTATTTAGCGAATTCTGCGATATTAAATATATAAAGTATATGGCACACTTTAAAGCGAAGAAATAAATGTCAATACGGAACTCATCGCCAAATGCTTGAGTCTTATCTTTGTGAATTTATATGGAGAAATAGAAACAAAGATGAAGATTTATTCAAATTAATATTGTTTAATATCGTAGAATTGCATTACTGGTGTTATTTTTGAAAAGATCTGCTAGTGGGAACCAAACGGAAAATATCCCTTATTCCAAACACCATTACGATTTAACAGTAGTCCAGCCTCTCAATTCACCTGATGACAAAACAATGTACAAAGTATCTCTTGACTTGACGACTTATCCTTCCTCGACGTAGTTCAAAAGGTCAAAATTCAAGAAACGTAAAAGAAATTAAAGATAATAATTATGCTTGGCGATCTTAAGGGTCGAACAAATGAAGTTCATGTTTAATACCGAAATGTCGTTGTCTTTATTGCCGAATTGAAGTTTTCTTAATGAAATGAAGCCTAAAATGTATGCTATCACTCGTATATAATTTGAGCAGTTGTACAAATGGATGCACAAACATACATAATAAACCACAACCTCTTTAAAGGTCCAGGTATTCAAACTAACAGGTTATTCATGGTATAATGTATGTTAATAGCACTCAATTTGGTGCCTGGACACGTTCTGTTTATATCAACTATTCATATCAATTGTACTATAGCAAATTGCATTAAACAAAAAATAATAATAATATAAATATAACTATCAAGGAGTGGAAGAATTGATGGTCAATCTAATTTAACACGTTTAGTAAATTAAATTCTTAATTATTGCATAATAAAAGAAGTCGATTGCATGTGACATAACACCTATTATTTCCAAAGTCAAACTGTAAAGCGTGGTTAAGTGTATACAGTAATCTGTGTGTTATTATAGTTGCATGTCAACCATAACTCCAGTTATGAATGTATACATTCATTAAGTTAATTATAAATACTAGCTGACAAACTCGTTCAACGCACGGCTAAGAAATATGGTCCCCCAGGGGGTGAGCGACAGCATGGTCAGATCTGAACGCCGTCACTCCCTGGTGGGACCCTACGATTACATGCAAGGTTTGGTGACAATCGGTCCAGATGTTTGCCAGTTATAAGCAAACACAGACTCGCAGACTTTTGTCCAATAATGGTTTATATATCGTTAAATATAGCCTCGGCTAGTTTGATAAAACCTGTAGATTTATCTATTTTCTATTATGAAGCTTGTATATAATATTCTCTTTAAATCCTATGCGTATGATGATTGTACAGATACAAGACAATGCGCTGCATCACTGAATTACAGACAAAAATTGAAACTAGCATTATAACAGTGTTTAGTTTCTCTCATAGAATAACTTTTAGGTTACATCAGATTGTAAACTAGTGAGGAAAAACTAGATCTATTTTTAATATTATCGTCTTTTTAAAGTTATTTGAAGCAATTACTAAGATACTACTCCGATTATGAGTATTAATACATCTGTTCATTACATATTACCACTGAGCACAACGAGGTATGAAGAGTGCAACAAAACTATGAAATTTGAAGTATTTCAAAAGAAAATAACACGTTGAATGTCTGAAGAAATTGAACGATTGTTTTGTTGCGAAAAGAACCAGAAATGTGCAGCATATCTTATTGTGAATCTAAATAATAACAATAATCAATAATTTTAAAAGTGACTAAGTTATCCCTTACCCGAAATAGGTCTCCATTTGGCTCTTACGTCATTTTTTCGCTTGATCTTTGCTCGAAAAGAACGGCGACGCAGACCGAATTTAAACAAACTTAATTTGAGATGCATTATCTATCAGGAGACTTGTTCAAACGCAGACCAAGACAACTAACATTCCATTCACAAACGCGCTTAAAGTCTTTTCATAAAATCACTTGGATACAGGC